GCTAGTGCTCTACCACTTGAGCCACAGCACCACTTCCGGCTTTTTTCTTTTTGCTTATGTGGTGCTGAGGAATCGAACCCAGGGCCTCAGGCATACAAGGCAAGCACTCTACCACTGAGCCACCTTCCCAGCCCTGTTTAATGTTTTCATTATAGAAAATAGAATGTATGAAGCATATTATAAAGTAAATAAAAATAAAATAGAGAAAAGAAAATTTGAGACCTTCTTGGAAACGTTGTCTCAATTTATTTTCAAACAAGACACTGCTGTACTTTAACAAGCAAAGTATTCCACAGAGAGACAGAGAGTGCACTTGGGAGCAGAGGCACCATGCCACCTCACCTGGAAAGGGTAATGCTTGATAGTCAGGTACTCTGCCAGGATGTCCAGCATCCTCACCATCTGGGAGAAAATAAGGACACGGTTCCCCCTTTCTCGAAGTCTTGTCAGCAGTTTGTCTAACAGAATTAGCTTCCCGCTGCTCCGGACCAGGGACTGGAATTTAAAAGAGACTCCAATCATTCAAATAGATAGCAGCCCTAATGTCTGTGGTGCTATACTTTCCAGATTTTGCTCTTAACTTTTCTCATCTGTTTGATTTTTGTTTTCTTTTTTGTTTGGCAGGTTGAACCCAGGGCCACATTTTGTAATGCACATTTGTAATGCACATTTGTTAAGCAGACATTTAGACACTTGAGCCACTCTACTAGCCCATGCTTTTGTTTAATCTGTTATTCTTAAGAAAGGTCTTTCTGGGGCTGGGAATGTGTCCTAGTGGTAGGGTGCTTGCCTCGCATGCATGAGGCCCTGGGTTCAATTCCTCAGCACCATATAAACAGAAAAGACTGGAAGTGGCACTGTGACTCAAGTGGTAGAGTGCTAGCCTTGAGCTGAAGAGCTGAGGGACAGTGCCCAGGCCCAGAGTTCAAGCCCCACAACAGACCAAAAAAAAAAGAAAGAAAGAAAGATCTTGCTGTACATTCGGGCTGGCCTGGACTATAGTCCTCCTATTTGTGCTTTCCTCTGCCAGTGGGAGACAAACATAAAGCACTGCACCAAGCCACTGGTTAAGATGGAATATCTTGAACTTTCATGCCTACCTGGCCTTAAACTGTGATCCACCTCTCTCTCATGGGCATGGGGGGCAAGGAGAGAGAGAGAGAGACAGAGAGAAAGTATCCTGCTGTGTAGCCTAGGCTGGCTTTGAATTAGCAATCCTCCTTCCCTGCCTCTCAAGGGCTAAGATTACAGGTATACACCACCATATGCAGTTTTTCTCTAATTTTAGCTTCTCTTGATGCTTTTTCAAGGGGCATCAATGAAGAAAACAACCCTTTGATAAAAGCATCCACAGAAACAAACTTGATTGTGAGGAAGTGGTCATGAATAAGAGGCAGTACACACCTGAAGAACTTCCTGCCCGTTCTCCCTTTCATTCTCTTCTGGGGCCTTAATCAGATAGCAGTGGTTGCAGCACTTTTTCAATTCCATCACGATGTTAAGGAAACCAGAGGTGCTGCCTCTAGTTCCTTTGGCAAGAGCTTTGTAATTCCTAGTTAGAATCCATCTGCAAAATAAAGTTATAATGATGCTATTAGACTCAAATAGTATAGGTACCAGAAGATTAAAAAAAAAAAAAACTTACTGAAAACCAAAAACAAAAAGAGATCTACGAAAGTTAGAGAAAGCTGGGAGCCAGTGACTCATGCCTACAATCTTATCTACCCATGAGGTTGCAAAGTGATTATCAAGGTTCAAAGCCAACTTGGCAACACAAATGCAAGAGACTCATCTCCAATTTAAAAAAAAAAAAAAAGAGGGCTCTAGTCTTGAGCAAAAAGAAGCTCAGAGACAGTACCCAGACCCTGAGTTCAAGCCCCAGAACTGGCAAAAAAAAAAGAGGTGGAGGAGGAGGAGGAGAGAGAAGGAAGGAAAGAAGGAAAAAAGGAAGGAAGGAAAGGAAGAGAG